ACTTTATTGCACGGTACTATTACACGGTTTTTTCTCAGGATTTCTAATTGCTTGAAATCTTTGTCTGATATTCGCGACAAGAAGACAAAGGAACAATGGGCCCGTCCAAGGGCCCCGAATGGACTCGTACTCGCGCCCCGTTAGTGTCAGTCAATTCACGAGAAAGGGCAGTGCTATCTCTACTCGATATTATTTTTAACAGCGATGGCTACATTAATAACTTATATGCAAATATATTTAATCGCTATTGTTTACGTCCGGAAAATTTGGACGATCTCAGTTTAGCTGAATGTGTTGTTACGTATGAATATATATCACGATTGAATAATTATGAAGAAGATGGAGATGTAGAAGTTTATAATGAAGAAAATGATATAATTCCAACTAAGTATATCCGTTTACAAGATGGTACGAGAATAAACAACGTACACGGCCTGCAATGTTAAAAATACAATATTATACTCAAATTAATAGTCACGAAACATTACATAATTTTATAGTTATTTAGTAGTTCATGTTCATTTCAGAAATGAAAAAGAATTACTTCAGGGATATGAATCGGCAGAACAAGCATTTAATGGCAAAGCGTCATCTATTAAAACTTCTACGAAATCTCTATTAAAACCTCTATGTAAGGGGCAAAATATTGAGCAATTCCAATTTATAGAATGAGAATTACAAGAAGTTATAACTCAAATTATTACATTTGATGATGACAACACAAATACGCAGTCTATGGCAGAAAAAGAAGATCGTGTACGTTATATAATGGATAAATATAATAATAATACCGACTTGGATTTACACGATCCAATGAAGCAGATCGCGTTATATCTGCAGAAGAATTCGTGCAAAATGTTAGAAATATGAATATAAAATAATCTAATTTATTTAATACAATTACTAATCATATTAAACATGATATTCAAGGTCAAATTATTGAACCTATACGATTGTTTATTACAGGAGGAGCAGGATGTGGAAAAACGTTTTTTTTTTAATGATGGAACAACAAATTAAGCGATGTTATACACCTACATTAGATCACTTGTTAAGGGATAAAATCGTATATATTACTGTTCAAATTTCATAATCATTGTTAAAAATCGCATAGCGAAAAATCCACATTTTTCTATATTAAAACCCCAAAATTCAAAATTAACGGGCGTCGAAAAACTTCTCGAAAAACCTATATTCTACAAAAACTCAACCGGTCGAATTATCTCTTATTATTTCAACCCCTAAGAAACGCTTATCATGCTCGTTGACAAGAACATTGTTAACCGTCAACGAAATCTAAGCAACATACGGGCACACGCGCCCATACGTCACAATTACGTCAGCTGATTGTCAATCAGCTGATCGAAAAAGATCGTGCACATGACAATTGTAAAAATCTTAAGTCTTACGCCTTAAGTATCCTTAAAATCTCAGTGTAGACAACGCTTAAGAGTCGTCTACAACGGCCGTAGCATAAGGTTGTAAGGCGTAAGACTCAAGAAATTGACATTACAGTCAAGTATGGCCGTTTCCCAAATTGCTGCCAGTTTATTGCCAACACTGAAAAATATATAATATACGTAAAGTGCATATAGAATTTGCAGTACTGGTAACAATTTCGGAACACGGCTAAGAAGAGAATGCTCGGCTGTGATTGGTCAATTTCTTAAGGCTTAGGGCTTAAATTATCTGTTGTAGATCGGTATTAAGGGTCGGTCCGCAATGGCCGTAGCATGAGGTGTATGGCGTAAAACTCAAAAATTGACCAATCACAGTCAAATATTCTCTTAATATTTGACCGTGATTGGTCAATTTCTTGAATCTTACGCCTTACAACCTTATGCTATGGCCACTGTGGACGACCCTAAAGCATCGTCTACAATGGCAGTAGAATTAATGAATGATAGCATTAACTCAATAAATTGACCAATCACAGTCGAGTATTCTTTTAATGCTTGAATATGATAGGTCAATTCCTTCTGTTACTGCTTTAATTCCATTAATTCTACTGCCATTGTAGACGACATGTTAAGAGTCTTCTACAATAAGATTTTAAGGCGTAAAACTTAAAGAAATTCACCAAACACAATCGAATATTCCCTTAATACTATACTGCGATGGTCAATTCCTTAAGTCTTACGCCTTAAAATCTTATTATAGACGCTACATNTAAGAATATTGAGAATGCTGCAGATTTAAATTTAAATATTGAAAACAGCAATAATGATATTGTCATTACGTCTTCAGTTTTATAGCCAATTGATGAAATTATACCTGATGTTCAATCTGTTTTGAAAAGAAGTAGAAGATGCTCCGTTATACATTGTGGCGAAAAACTACAGAACCTATACAGCATATTGAACTTCGAGCTGAATAATTAGCTTGGTTTTGCTTTTTCCGAAAGTCGGGGAATTGGACTTCATGAACCATCACGATAATATACTATATAACGCCATTAGATTATTGTAAGTACGTATTATATGTCAGGATTCCAAATTTCGACGAAATGATTACTTATTTTATTCGTTAATGAATATTATCGAACTCGGCCAAATGTTTGCGTTTGTCTTAGATAGATTAAGGCAAGGAAATACTATTCCTGAAAGTCTTGTACAAAATTTGCGTATTAATATGAGAGCTTTACGTGGCTCTTATTGACAAACAGCATGTAGTGGTTTAATTTAATTCTATGGTTCGTAATTTTCGGCCCACTACAATGGTTTTTAACATTAAGTTGCAACGATCTTAATTGAAAAGACATATTGAAAGCATGTCTTATTGCAGCTGGAAGAAAAGGGAAAAATATAAATAACTTGCAATTTGATGAAAATAACGATTAATTGTTGAGCATCTGGTACATTATCTCGTCATTTTATGGTTCGTGTTCATGCTATCGTATATTGCAAAATGATGAGACTTTGTTAGGTGGAAAATTAATAGATTTCTGGTAGAGAGTAGAATTTCAAAATAGAGGTAGTCCACACTAACATATGCTATATTGGAATGAAAGAATTCCATCATTCGAGGGTCCAGATGGTATTGCTCTTATTGATAAGATTGTGTCGTGCACATCTCCTACAAGAGATAACGAATTAGATGCACTCATAGCACGGGTTCAAGTGCATAAACATACTAGTACGTGTTATAAGATAGACAACACGGACAATGTCGATTTGGTTTTCCTAGAAAAATTAGTAATATAACAATGTTGCTTGGACCAGATGAAGCTATTTGTAATAATGGACGTTTTGTATATTAAAGCGCAACTCTATAGATATTTATATCATTTAATTATAATTTACACTCCTTAAATTATGGGGTGGTAATATTTGCAATCTTGTGGAAGTGTTACGGGTATAGTCTATTATATAGCTAAATGTGCAGCTTAACATGAATCTCACAATGTTGGTCAAGTAATAAAATGCAATATAATATATAAAGTGCAGAGGTATGATGGAGACATAGGAAAGCAATCATTCAATATATCAATGACTATACTTCGACATAGGCAGGTATCTACTTGTGAATGTGCATTTCGTTTATGTCATTTAAAATTACGTGATAGTTTCACGAAAAGTTGTTTTTGTAAACACAACTGCTTTCTACAAGAACGTTATCGTATGTTTACATTGCGATTGTAACATATATATATAAGGCTAACTTGTTTATATGAGACACACCGATAATAATATTAAAAATACTTTATGCACGATACTGTTACACGGTTTTTTCTCAGGATTTTTAACTGCTTGAAATATCTGTCCAACAAGAAGACAAAGGAACAATGGACCCGTCCAATGGCCCCGAGTGGACTCGTCCTCGCGCCCCGTTAGTGTCAGTCAATTCACGAAAGAGTGTATTGCTATTCCTACTCTACATTATATTTAACATTCCTCCCACAGGGAAAAAAACTAGTATCCGATTTTGTCCGGTATCTTTATACATCGTCCGCTCCTAGTATGAACGATGTTCGAAGTAGGTTGCGGAGTAGATTCCTTCTGGTTCTCCTTAATCTGCTTTGAGTCGTCTATGTTTGACTCTGACGTATCCGACATTTCCAAAGGATATAGGTGCTGAATGAGCCGTACTAATTCTCCGGTGGCGGTTTTTACCTTAGCTACCCGTACGATACCATCTTTACCTGGAAAAATTTTGCTTATTTGAGTTAATGGCCAATCTAAACGCTTACGATTATCCTGGCCGACTAAGACGATATCTCCAATTTTTACTGGAACATTGTGGCCCTTTGTTATCCGCCGTGCTAGTTGTCCTAAATATTCAGAACGGAAACGTTTACATAGTTCATTACGCAAGCTTTGACAATATCACATCCGCTTGTTCAGATTAACGTCTATCTTATCCAAATCAGATACATTACTCCGAAGAGTTTCTCGTAGAAACATCATTGGCGTTAACGCCATGTTGTAATTGTGTTGGATCCTCTGCCAAGCAGGACAACGGACGAGAGTTAATGATAGCCTCGATGTCGCATAAAATAGTATTCATCTCTTCATAGGATAGATACGCTCTCGTCAATGTCCGTTTCAACAGGTCTTTTACTATTCTTACCAGACGTTCCCACCATCCTCTCCACCAAGCTGCTGAAGGAGGATTGAGACGCCAGTCTATTTTTTGACTTGTGCTGAATTGTTGAATTTCTTTCCAATTAATCTTTTTAAGTAGATTACGTTCTCTTGTGAAATTTGGTCCCATTGTCAGTGTAAATTACGGAAGATTTTCCTCGTCGTGCGATAAATCTGCGTAAAACTTGCAGAAAAGCTTCAGTAGAAAGAGACGTCGTGAGTTCCAAATGGATCGCTCTATAAATAGCGCGAGTAAATAGACAAATCCAAGCCTTTTGTACTTTTTTAAGAAACAAAGGCCCGATATAATCGATCCGTGTGACTTCAAAAATATTTACTTCCGTAACACGCTCATGTGCTAAACAACCGAGACTAGCATCTGCTTTTTTGACTTTGTATCTTTTGCATGTCCAACAATCATTTATCGTACTGCTGTTCTGTAGGTGAGAATTCAAATGTTTCTAGCAAATCATTCATTACAACCTGGATTCCCGCGTGATGAAGTTGTTGATGTCTGTACTGGATTAACATTTTAGTTAAAGGATGCTTAGGATCTAACACAATGGGACATCGAATGTTATACTCATCATCACGATTAATTACTGGTGACTTTAGACGTATTAATCCACATTCATCCTTGAATGTATATCTAAAGTATTGAATCGTGGTTCATTCTCGTTAAACGATTCTCCTTATGATAACTTTAAAACTACAAGCTCCGCATCGATGAATTTTTTTGTGGTCAATTCTTCTGAGATTCTTACAGCTTGCTTAGCTCGACAATTAACCATGAAACGTTGGATCCAAGCCATGGTTCTTACTATTCTTAGATATCTAGATTGTCCTTTCATGTATCATCCTATTTCTTCTTGTGTGATGGATATAAGCGTCTCGACTTCTATATTATTATTAGAAATCTTTTTTTTTCGCTGATTTCTTAATCTCGCTGTTTTTCACTTTGTTCTCAATGTCATCAGATGAGGGCTATTAATCCGCAGGAAGTTTTAGCCAAGTTGAGCCTTCCCACCATAGAGATTCTACTAAGTGTTTAGCTTCACATCCTCTTGAAGATAGATCAGCCAGGTTCATGGATCCCGGTACATGACGCCATTTGTTAGGATCAGATAATGAACATATCTCTCTTACTCGATTCTCAACGAATGTGTTCCATAGCTTGTCTTTCCGTATCCACGCCACAACTGTACTCGAATCAGACCAAAAGAAAACTTCTTCTTCGAAATCTCCAGCTTCTTTTATTGAGCGTAGTCTTACTCTTATAGTAGCAGCCAACAATTCCAGACGAGGTATCGTTATTCTTTCAATAGGTGATACTCTGGATCTTGCTTGAATAAGTTGTATATTGCGACATTTTATTCAATTAAAATTATTAATTTCGCAATACTTCTCAGGGTGTTAGGGAGGAGAGTGCGAAGGGGAGCGAAAACGCCGTCAAAAACACAGCGAATATAGTATACTCGCGCTCGGGGGAACAGGGATGGAGGATGTTCGCACGCGAGCCGCGGTGAAGCGAAAGCCGTTTCGACATCTCGAAGTTGGGCGCCAGATGAGGTCTTTTACGCATCAATTTTCTCTAAACGCCTCAGAACACGAAAAACGATAGCCTGCTTCGCCACGGGCCGACTAGTTCACCTAACGGTAGAGGGGCAGGGTCTTGGAAAAAGTCAATTGATTATGCGAGACTTCGCTAATTTTACATTCGACAGACAAAACGAAAATCGACAATCACGAGAGACTAACACTCAAATAAATTACGCGAACTTAATAAAGACAACTTAATAAAGACATATAACAAATTTATTAATAGGAAAATAATATAAAAATAAAATTAAGTAACAAATCCGAGTAAGAACGAATATTCACAATAAATTCAAAGATATGAGAAAACGCAATATATAATAGATCAAATCAATAGAGGTAGTAATAATAATAATCCAATAAAATCGAATGTTCGCTCGAAATCGACAACCTAAGAGAGCGCATTTCTGTTATTTACCCGAGCCCGCTTTTATGGCCGGAGTTCGCCAGACCGAACAATATTTCCCAAAATGTAACGGAATTTCGACATCTATATCGACGTCTTATCGTATTGGTCTTTTTCCTCGTAATTTCTCAACTCGCTGTTCCAATTGACAGCAGAAGGGTTTGACAGCATGACTAAAAATCGAGCGAGAATAATTACTGATTTTGCAAAAATAGATCTCGTCTGCGACCGGCGAACGATACGGTCGATATTCGATAGCTGACGGGGGCCGGAGATTTTTCTCTCCCTGCGTTTCACCTCTTTTCTCAGCGCAATCAGCTCAAATTTCGATAACAGTTGAATTTTTTGGCGATTATCTCGCACCGCAACACATTTGACAAACGATAATCATTACAAAATACACGCTACTCATTGACATAATGAGCGCGACAAAGACGCAAATACTTATAATACTCTCGCACTTATAATACTAGACGCTCACACGCACACTTAATAATCGATTGCACAAACGCAATTAGACACGAAAATCCGTGGATCGTCTGCGAGGATGTTTTACGCGGCAACGACAGCGACACGACAACACGGGTGGACCGAATCGCGTACGTGGCTTACAAAAGATAGGCAACCTCATCGATATGTGTTCTCGAGCAGGGATATGCCGTTCTTTCCTTGATTCCGCCAACGACAACGACCAGCACAATGCGACAACTATTACGACTTTTCAACTGATTGCGTCGTGCGCCCGCACCAAAGTGAGTCCCTGGATCGGAAGATCCAGGGTCGATAGCTGCGTCAATGACCGCGTGCAGAAGTGCGCAGTTCCGCGGTAAATCGCGCCGCGACACGCGCGATATCCTTGCGCCTCGCGATACGCGAGGTATTCTTGCGCCCTGCGCGAAACGGTCTCGAATATTCAAATTCTGCTGTCATGGGCCCCGGTTTTCATGATCCGGTGGAGGCCCATCTAACGTACTCCACCCCTGGAAGGTAATGCCGATCGGGCCTTTGTCCTCCTTTATACGACGAGGGGCGATGTTTACCGTGGCGTCCCAGGGCTCGATTATTCGGGCGCTATTTCCCCCTCCGCTCGCCGGCGGGGAGCACCGTGTCGCAGGCCGTTTCATGAAATCCCTCGACGTTACCTTCGCCTTGCGGATGTTCTCCGGCGGGTTGCCCGACATTTCATTAATACAAAAAAATACAAAAAGTTAATAAAGGCGCAAAATACAATAAAACCGCTCGTCTCTCCGGGGAGTTCGATATTGTTCTCGCAATCTGGTTTCTGGCGCGGCCGCTCGGCCCGCGCCCCGGCAAAGTTGCCGGGGCGGATGGACGCGCGACAAGATGGCAACGTCATAATATATATGTTCTCTCGAGTTTCTGTCTCGCAAAAATGACAACTGCGTATGCATCTTGACTAGCATCTACCAACACATGAAAAGACAGTTTACATTGACGGAAAGCGTGTCGCGGAATATGTAGTTCCTTTAACTAGTGAAGCTGCTTCAATCAATTATCGAAATCAGCTCTAATATTTTCAGGTACTTCTTCGTCCTAACTGATTTTGCAAGATCAAAGCTTCTGTAACAACAGTTTAGATTTTAAGGATATCGGAGGAGACAAACTAGTGGGATCAAATACTTTTTGAGCAGCAGATAGTATTTCTCTTTGTAATCTGTGACGTAGTGTAAAATTCCCACAATGTAGGTGTCAACCTTAAAGTATCCTGTTCTTTATCTCAAAGGAATCCGAGTACGAAAGTCAATTTATGTTTCTTCTTGAACCGTGTATTCTCAGCCTCGCAAATCAAATTTGCCTTCTGCCATGATTTGTCTTGCAGTAACTTCAAATGCTACGGCCTCGCTGTGCGTATTAACACTGATTACGCAATTATCTACGTAGAAAGACTTCTTTAATTGTTAAATGACTTCTATTCCTGCTTCCGTTTGTCCTTGTTGTAGTGCTCTGTCTAAATGATATTCGATCATTGCCCCTAAGAAGAAAGGGCTGCTGGAGATTCGAAAAATTACTCGCCGATGTCTGTATACTTCTATTTCTTCTGGACGAGTCTTCTTCCACTAAAGAAACCGCAATACGTCTCTATCGTCAGGTGAAACACTTATTTGCAAAAAGCACTCCAAATGTCTGCAGTTATTCCTATCTTTCGTCGTCTAAAACGTAGAATTCTCGGAATTTGTTCAATCAAATTAGGACCTGTTTCGAGATAATGATTCAGTGACGGTGGAGTTTTCCAAGAAGTGGATGCGTCAAATACAGGCCTTATTTTCGTAGTACTATTTTCTTTGATCACACTTCTATGAGGTAGATAGTAGGCATTGTAGTTTACTTCATCCTCCGGAACCTTTTCAATAATGCCTTTGGACAATTATTCTTCAAAAATTTGTTGGTACGTATCATAAAGATTTTAAGCCTTAAGTCTTTTAATAGTAGACTTAAGTCGTTTTATAGCCGATCCTTTATTTTCTACCAGTGGTAAGTAATCTTCCTTCCAAGGAAAAAATAATTCATATCGACCTTCTTCGTTCATGGTATGCTGAAAATTCTCTTTAACTTTTGCTTGGTGTGCATCATCTGTCTTTTTCAAGCTAGGATCCATAATACTCAGCTTCCACAAGTCGACAATGTTTCCCTGACATGTAAACATAGATACGACCATGAGTGTTGCGTCTTCCTTTTGCTGCGGTGAGTTGTCCACATTTCCGATTAAAGTCCATCCGAGTAACGTTTCTAGTGTTACGACTCCACATTAAGCTCTTTTCGTTTGCCTGTTAATAACTTTCCTGCGATATCCGCATCAATTAACACAACGATAGGTTCTTTTGTGTCGACATCGGTGAGTTGTATTCCTTCTAGTTGCACTTCGTAGCCTCGGCTTATAGAAGGAATTTTCTCGCATATTTTTCTCTGACTTAATGCTACAAGGATATAAGAATAAGATCCATCGATGTTGCTTATGCTAACTCGGTATTTTCTAGTAATGGACTTTAAGAATCTCCAAATAACATATGTACCATATGCTATTCGCCAATGACCTCAAATCCCATTTTCTCAGCATAATAGTCAAGAATATATGATCTATGTGAACCGTTATCAAAAATAGCTCTGACTATTTGTTCCTTACCTTGATTAAACAATTTCACACAAAGCGTCTGTAAAAATACTTCACTGGTAAGTGAAAAATTAGCAAGCGTAGATTGTTCTTTTATCCTGGAAAGTTCTTCTTCTTGATTAGCTTTTACAGAAGCATTTGATGTTGTATTTCGATACAAAAGCAAAACATGCTTCTTATCGCACCATGCGCATTTGCCTTTATATCTGCAATATATATGACTGTGTCCCGTCTTTGCACAATAAAAACAAGCATTTTTTATTTTAACGATTTTGCATCTATCTTCATAGGACATCTTTTTAGCTTTTTCGAACGATGCACTTTCATGATCTAGGTCACAAAATATACAAGAGTGCCTTGTCTTGTTTGGTTGCGAGAAGACTCGCAGCAGTAGCAATATCTTTCTGTTCATTCTTCACTTTCTTATTGAACTTATCCTGATTAGTTGTAGACTCAATATTTAATCCAAAACCACCTATTGCCATAGCGATTCTTTCTTCGCTCATTACTAACGTCTGCAAAAATGACATTAGTTCATCTAGACATTGCTTCGATGTAGAAGAATTAATCGCCTTCGTATTTCTCTGCCATACATGTAAGAGATTTTCTGGTAACGACAATTCAACCAAAGGATCGCAGCACACATATCTGTTGTGACTCCTAGCGACTCTAAAGCTCGTAATTGTGTCTCGAGTTTATCATAAATGCTCGATAAGAGAACCACTTATTTTTATTGACTGAGTTAATACTAACTTGAGCATCTCTCGGACGTATATCTCGACAAGTAGATCCTCTTTATAAAAACGTGATTTCAAGCTAGTAATAGCCTTATCATAATTCGCCGTTTCGGCGGAAAACTGTTGACTAATATGCTCGCCCTGGAATCTTTCACCATTGCTTGTATCAGGTACTGAAATTTATCTTCTTTGGTTATATCCGGATCCTCATGAATATGTTTGAACAAGTTCCTAAATTGCAACCACTCTTTGAGATCTCCACTAAATTTTGGCAATTGTATTTTTGGCAGTTTGAACATATTGCGCATTGTCACTAGGAACATGTGCTACTTGTCCCGCATCCTGTGAAAAAAACATTGCTTGAGTCGGATTAGTCGCATTACTTATTGCAATTTTCGCTCGCTGATATTTCGGTCTGTATTCATCCGCAGCATCAAATTCTTGCATGAGGTCTTCTTCGCTATAATCGTTGTCGATCATAACATCAAAAATCTTGCGATCAATTTCCTCGAACTGGTCCGCTTTCTCCTTTACTATCTCGAAATATACTTGTAATTTCGCAATGTTCGGACTTCCACTTACCAACTCAGTATTCAATGAGCCTAAATTGCGAGTAAATGCCGCACGTGTAATAATACGGAATCTTTTCATCTTATCCATCGTGTCACCTTTTATTTCTCTCAAGAATATGTCACAAATGCTTTTCCAGTTCTGTCACGGTCGCCACTTAATGTAACATATATATATATATATATATATATATATATATATATATATATAAGACTATCTTGAGAATAAGAGACACACCGATAATTATATTAGAAGTACTTTATTGCACGGTACTATTACACGGTTTTTTCTCAGGATTTCTAATTGCTTGAAATCTTTGTCTGATATTCGCGACAAGAAGACAAAGGAACAATGGGCCCGTCCAAGGGCCCCGAATGGACTCGTACTCGCGCCCCGTTAGTGTCAGTCAATTCACGAGAAAGGGCAGTGCTATCTCTACTCGATATTATTTTTAACAGCGATGGCTACATTAATAACTTATATGCAAATATATTTAATCGCTATTGTTTACGTCCGGAAAATTTGGACGATCTCAGTTTAGCTGAATGTGTTGTTACGTATGAATATATATCACGATTGAATAATTATGAAGAAGATGGAGATGTAGAAGTTTATAATGAAGAAAATGATATAATTCCAACTAAGTATATCCGTTTACAAGATGGTACGAGAATGAAACAACGTACACGGCCTGCAATGTTAAAAATACAATATTATACTCAAATTAATAGTCACGAAACATTACATAATTTTATAGTTATTTAGTAGTTCATGTTCATTTCAGAAATGAAAAAGAATTACTTCAGGGATATGAATCGGCAGAACAAGCATTTAATGCAAAGCGTCATCTATTAAAACTTCTACGAAATCTCTATTAAAACCTCTATGTAAGGGGCAAAATATTGAGCAATTCCAATTTATAGAATGAGAATTACAAGAAGTTATAACTCAAATTATTACATTTGATGATGACAACACAAATACGCAGTCTATGGCAGAAAAAGAAGATCGTGTACGTTATATAATGGATAAATATAATAATAATACCGACTTGGATTTACACGATCCAATGAAGCAGATCGCGTTATATCTGCAGAAGAATTCGTGCAAAATGTTAGAAATATGAATATAAAATAATCTAATTTATTTAATACAATTACTAATCATATTAAACATGATATTCAAGGTCAAATTATTGAACCTATACGATTGTTTATTACAGGAGGAGCAGGATGTGGAAAAACGTTTTTTTTTTAATGATGGAACAACAAATTAAGCGATGTTATACACCTACATTAGATCACTTGTTAAGGGGATAAAATCGTATATATTACTGTTCAAATTTCATAATCATTGTTAAAAATCGCATAGCGAAAATCCACATTTTTCTATATTAAAACCCCAAAATTCAAAATTAACGGGCGTCGAAAAACTTCTCGAAAAACCTATATTCTACAAAAACTCAACCGGTCGAATTATCTCTTATTATTTCAACCCCTAAGAAACGCTTATCATGCTCGTTGACAAGAACATTGTTAACCGTCAACGAAATCTAAGCAACATACGGGCACACGCGCCCATACGTCACAATTACGTCAGCTGATTGTCAATCAGCTGATCGAAAAAGATCGTGCACATGACAATTGTAAAAATCTTAAGTCTTACGCCTTAAGTATCCTTAAAATCTCAGTGTAGACAACGCTTCAAGAGTCGTCTACAACGGCCGTAGCATAAGGTTGTAAGGCGTAAGACTCAAGAAATTGAGACATTACAGTCAAGTATGGCCGTGTTCCCAAATTGCTGCCAGTTTATTGCCAACACTGAAAATATATAATATACGTAAAGTGCATTATAGAATTTGCAGTACTGGTAACAATTTCGGAACACGGCTAATGAAGAGAATGCTCGGCTGTGATTGGTCAATTTCTTAAGGCTTAGGGCTTAAATTATCTGTTGTAGATCGGTATTAAAGGGTCGTCCGCAATGGCCGTAGCATGAGGTTGTATGGCGTAAAACTCAAGAAATTGACCAATCACAGTCAAATATTCTCTTAATATTTGACCGTGATTGGTCAATTTCTTGAATCTTACGCCTTACAACCTTATGCTATGGCCACTGTGGACGACCCTAAAGCATCGTCTACAATGGCAGTAGAATTAATGAATGATAGCATTAACTCAATAAATTGACCAATCACAGTCGAGTATTCTTTTAATGCTTGAATATGATAGGTCAATTCCTTCTGTTACTGCTTTAATTCCATTAATTCTACTGCCATTGTAGACGACATGTTAAGAGTCTTCTACAATAAGATTTAAGGCGTAAAACTTAAGAAATTCACCAAACACAATCGAATATTCCCTTAATACTATACTGCGATTGGTCAATTCCTTAAGTCTTACGCCTTAAAATCTTATTATAGACGCTACATTAAGCGTTGTCTACAATGAAATTTTAAGAAGACTTAAGCCATAAGATTTAAGAAATTGACCAATTACAGTCAAGTATTAATTGAATATTCGATTGTGATTGGTCAACTTCTTAAATCTTACGCCTTAAGTATCCTTAAAATCTCAATGTAGACGACGCTTCAAGAGTCGCCTACAATGACCGTAGCATAAGGTTGTAAGGCGTAAGACTCAAGAAATTAACCAATCACAGTCAATTATGGCCGTGTTCCGATATTGCTGCCAGTTTACTGCCAACACTGAAAATATATAATATACGTAACGTGCACTATAGAATTTGCAGTATACTGGTAATAATTTCGTAACGCGGTTTATGAAGACAATGCTCGGCTGTGATTGGACAATTTCTTAAGGCTTAAAGCTTAAATTATCTGTGGTAAATCGGGATTAAAGGTTCGTCTGCATGGCCGTAGCATAAGGTTCTAAGGCGTAAAACTCAAGAAATTGACCAATCACAGTCGAGTATTCTCTTAATATTTGACTGTGATTGGTCAATTTCTTCAATCTTATGCCTTACGACCTTAATCTACGACCACTGTGGACGACCCTAAAGCATTGTCTACAATGGCAGTAGAATTAATGAATTAAAGTTGTAACTCAATAAATTGACCAATCACAGTCGAGTATTCTTTTAATGCTAGAATATGATTGGTCAAATCCTTCTGTTACTGCTTTAATCCATTAATTCTACTGCCATTGTAGACGACGTGTTAAGCGTCTTCTACAATGAGATTTAAGGCGTAAGACTTAAGAAATTGTCCAATCACAATCG